GCTTGTCCTTTAGGCCCAAGCAGTGATTTTTTTAAAATAAGGAGAATTATGTGGAAACCTTTACTTAAATGAAAATTATTTGACATTTCTATCTACCAACAGAAGGGTCCATTTACTCCAAACATTTATTCACCACCTACTTACTCATCAATGATGTATTAAAGTTGGAAAAACAGATAATACATTTATATCAATCTGTTTGCACTAATAAATAGACAGTTTCAAATTAAAAAATAACATCTTATTTTAATTGAATCTACTTATCTACTCCCAATCCACTATATTAATGTTAGCTTCAGCTTTTGTTTCGATGCCATTTTTCTGTCAAAACAAAGGTTGTCAGGATTTGACTAATTTGTTACGGTAAAATAATCAAATTTTTCTCCCGCTGTAACACTTCCTATTAAGATGGTAACATGTTTCAAACCTGTGGCATTTTTCTTTAAAAACAAGACCTGATTCATTCGCCTTAACAAACGATAAACTGCGATGAAGCATTTATTTCTGCACATCTTTGCCTCTTACAAAGTTTCTAGAGATTAAGTGGATGTTGATCAACCATCTTCATACTGCTTTGCATTATTTCATTAGGTTTGTTTTTTCTGTAGCATCCTGAGACGGCATTTGTTGGGAATTGGTGATGCATAAATAAAATTGACCAAGTAAAATTGAACAAGTGCCAAAGTGTTGGTGGTACCTGATATATATTCTTTTGAGAATGATAACAATCACAGGGAAACGTATTTTAACACGTTTTACCACATCAGTCAGCATATCAACGATATACTTTGCTATGTTTTTTAGTCCAGTAATATAACATTAAAAAAAAGTTGCAAAACAGGAAGGCGATGTCTAGATTTCATGTTAGTTCTCTACCGTGTAGTTAAGCATGAAATTTAGACAGTATTATTGGGATTATTATGACCCCATCAGATTCTCATGCAGTTTATATAAACAAAGGTCAAACAATTAATAAGAAAGACCAAATGCCAAGCGCTGCTTGTGTTCCTCTGTTCTGGCGGAGTTCATTCTTTTCGTACTGAATCTGGTGGCTTCCTATACTGCAGTTACATGGTGTCTTTGTATTTATCCCGCTACGCTCACAGTTTAGCCCAGAGGTGAAACAATCTGCAGAATGAGCCATCAGTAACTCCCTGGAAATAAACCTGCCAATCTTTCCGAGCGCCGGCTACCGGGGCGATTTTGCTCCTTCCCTCCCTGCTTCATGGCGAATCTCCTCGCTCTCTTGCTTTGCGGCTTTGATTTGTGTGTTTCGATGTTACCGTCCATGATTACTCTCCCGGTCACTCCCTCTTGCTCCCCAGTCTCATTGTTCCCCTCTCTATTTGTCTCATCTTATCTCCCCCATCCTTTTTCTCCCTTAACCATTTCTCTCTCTTTTTCTCATTCTCCACGCCTTTCTCGCTCTGTCTTTATCTTAAACCCCTGCCCCCATCGTCTCCCCTCCTCATCCTCTGCCCTGGTCTCATCAGACAGACACAGAGGGTGATGCGCAAACACCATCCCTCACATCTCCAATGAGCACCTTGTTATCATCTTGTCCCCACAGCGGCTTTCTGTCTGGCTCCGTCTGAGCTTGGATTCCGTCACTAATGGGACCGCATCATTTTCGACAGCTGCAATTCCTCAGCATTGAGGAACGGGGATGCGGAGCGGCTCTGTGAACACAGCTCAAAGGGATTGAAGACTAATGCCTCGCTCTGATTTACACATTTACAAAGGCCCGTTTAAGCATCACGTCTCTTGGTGCAGCCCTCTGCCGCATGGCCTGTAATGACGATTTACATGTATTCAACTTGCTTGGATATATCGTCTCCCTTTTGATCAGCTCCCCTTAAACACCTTGTTTCATGTAAGGTAAACTCACTCTTGATCCCAGAGTCAAATATTTATGAGATTTGAGAGACAACAGATCCTTGTCAGGACGGTATTCTCGGTTGAGGCATCATGGAAGTTTTTGATGCGACTCCTAAGGCTCCTCTGATCTTAAGAGTAGGAGAAAAGTGAATCTTCATAAAAGCTTCAACAACAGATCATGTTAGAGTTTGCCTGCCTCTTTCAGCCTGCTTATCGTTTCCACTGGGTCCTGCAAGGCAACAACAAAGACTCCCAAAATTTCAGTGGCAATCGGTTCTGTCTTTGATTGTGCGGTTCACTAAATTTACTTTTTGTGTGTGTGTATGCGTGTGTGAATGCTGCTTTCATCTCTCTCAAAGGGGGCACTTAGCAGCTCACTTGTTATGTGACCCAGGCCATGCTTTGAAACAGACTGCAAAATTAGACACAAAACAGCTCTATGTTTGTTTGCGCGTTTTGGTTCGGCTTAATTTTTAATATGCTGTGTATCTCTATCTAGATTTCTTCAATTTCTAATATGTTGTTTCAACATTTAAACGTGGATGTAAATAACATATTTAGCAATATGTTATTTTTTATATAGGGACAAGTGTGACTGTATATTTATAAGCACACTTGTGATTTGTGGGCAATGATGACATTTCATTGCTAATTTCTCTGTTTTTATCCAATGACAATAAAATAAGTCCAACTAGGTTTTACAGTTTGAACTGATTGTTTTATACTGTTGTGCAAATGTTAACAGAGAGAAATGCACTAATTGAATATCTAAAAACATATGTACAAGCATTGATATGTGTTTTTCTTCCCTTTCTATCCAGTAACACATTAAGTGGATATTAAAGAAATTCTTATGCTAAAGTTAGCATAAGAAAATATTTCCAAGCAGCAGGTATAAAATTTTTTTTGTTTTTTTCCCCTTTAGATAGGTATAAAAAATTAGTTCCTAAGGGAACAACTTTGAAACAGAATCGAAGTCTGAATTAGCCTAGCTCAGATAGCACTGCATGACTGCAAACATTTCCGTTTCCTTCTGGGCGTCAATAGACAGCTCAAGTAGAGAAACGAGAAAAGCTGTGCGCTGCAGCTTATTGTGTTTGAAGAGAGGCAGGTACACTGATCTGTGTTAACAACATGGTGGTAAAAGCCATTCAGGCAGCCAGCGGTTATGGCCTGCCAGCATATTACTGGTGACATCACACATCAGAGTGCATTTGGCTCCGCTCGGCCTGCTCTCATTAAAGCAGACATCCTACAGGAGACCCTGCTGGTCATGTACACTCTGCCCTTTAAAGTCCGGTCAAAGAGCATCTGTAAAAGCCTCACGGAATATCCTTTGTAGATTTTATCACGTTGGTCAGTCATGCTAAACTCCAGGTAACGGAGATGAGGTTTCCCGTTTTGTTCGCCCCAACTGCATTTTCTCTAAGAAGTCGCCTAACCCCACAAAAAAAAAAACAAATACCAAGAGAGACAAATGTATTAACAAGATGAAATATTTATTCACTGTTCTTTAATTTATGCCTGTCTCAAAGTTCAGAGATGTCACTCCCCTTATCAGTTTCAATGAACATTCAGCGATTTTAGCCACAGTGTTTTCAGTGTTTTGCAGTCATGGCCTGTTTGTACTTCTGTCATGGGATCTTGGGCTCATCTGCAATCAAGTCTCATAGAACGTCTTTAATTTATAGCCGGACGAAAAATCTCCCGGAGATTCTTGGAGCAAGAACAGAGTCAGAATACTAAATATTTCAATAAACAAGAAGATTTTGAATATTTCATAGGCAGAACGATTGATATGAACTGAAACTGCTTTATGAAACATTAAAGTCCCTCTGTCCATCTGAACTCTTCAGACTTGCTGCATTTAAGCCAGAGCACAGGAGAAATACATGCAGTACTGTCATGATCGCTGGTGCACACATACATCAAGGGAGGAAGGAAATTTGCTTAATAGGGATTTGTTTTCTATTGCTGATGTCTTTTCTTATCTTTCCCCAAAAATCTCTTGATGCTCTTCTTGCACACATTACAGCCCCTGTCCTCTGAAGATGGAAGGAAAAGCTGAACAGGATTTTAAGAAAAAAAAAAAAAAGTTAGCACACATCTAAAAGCAGAGAATGTGGCCAAGTGGAAAATATGTCTCCACAGGTTTAGGGAGTGGAAGGAGGTTTATTTGATGTCCATCCGGATCTGTGCGTCCCCGCAGAGCTTCAGCTCTACAAAGTTTGACTTGCTGATTACGCTGTAGCCCCGATTTACTCTGATGAAAGAAGTTGTTGTACGCAAATTGAAATAAAGAGGCTATTTTAGGAAGCTAAAATTAAATAAAAAAAGGAGAAAAGCCAATCTAAATAGAAAATAAAGCTGACTTTATTTATCTTTATTGAAATTTCCCTTTGAATTAAAGATGTTTTTTCTATTTTGCAGAAATAGACTATCAAATCCTGTGAAGGATTTTGTGAATTTGTGCGCTAAAAAGTATAAAGTAGAACTTGTTGTGGTACTGATGATAGTTGTAGGTTTACTTCCACATCGAAGGCTCCAAATGTGCTCATTTCATTGCCAGAGGGACGATACATAGATTACATTTGATGTGCAATAAATGTATCGCAACTGAAAATTATCACTATCTTAGATTATAAACACACAATTTAACAGCATGCTGTCTAATGCTCTTTGTCTGATGTTTAAATTTAGACAAGTGTGTAAACCTTTTATATTCCATTGGTTTAAAGCTGCTACTTATGACAACCTGCTGCATTTTCTTTTATAATATTTAATAGTTATTATGTAGATTGTACATAATAACTTGTGGATTGTAGATCTTAGAAAGAAACAAATCAACCAAAGTCGGAGTGCTCAGGTCAGATCTCAAATAAATCGATATAAGCCAGTAAAACTCAGATTGGTGCATTTCAACCAGTTCTGTACACAGTTTCATTACTTTTTTCCCTCCTTTAAGCCTTTCTATAAATGCATATCTGCTGGTTTATCAGGTTGCGTAAAACGAAGCCAACATTTTTGAAGTGCTTTTACAGAACAAGGACATAAGAGCATGGACGCAAAAAACTTCTAGTGGTATTGTTGGTAAATAACAGAAGGTTACAGAGGCGATGGGAAAATTTCAATGCTTTAATATAATGCTGTCGCATTGTTATTAATCATCAGCTTCAGAATATCCTCTATCTCGAATAGCTCCTGCACTTGTAGAGCTCGTTGACCCGGAGGATGTCAATGTCAGACAAACCGCTCCGTTGGCCAATGGGAACGTTAGGATCAGGGACAGGCGTGAAGGTTACGGCCCCCTTTTGTTCCAAAAGCCATTCTACACATATAAAAGGAGATAATCAATCACTCAGAATTAAAAAGATTACACACTCAAACTGGATTTTTGTCCAATCTTACTTTCCGTATCGCATCACAGATGAGTCGTCAATACGTGGTGAGATTATCTGTGTCCATCTTTCAAATAATCTGGTGCCAAATAAAAACAAATAGTACAAGATTGCCAAGAAAAACAAAACAAGGTTAAAAAATCTAGGAGCCTTCCAAGTTTTTTTTTTTTTTTTTTTACATTTTTTGATGTTTTCCCAGTGGATTTTCACGAATTGGTCACGGTCGCTGCGAGTGTGTTTGTGGTAGAAACCCAAAGTGTGGAGCGGTTCGTGTTGGACGATGCCATGATCTACGCATCCCAACGTCTGCAGAGACGCCACCTGCTTGTCTCCGATACGACCCAGCAAAGAGAAACAGCTAGGAAAGTGGAACAAGAAAAAAAAAACAAAGGACGACAAACACTGGACTTGTGAATTCAAAGCATTTGCCTTCTGAGACTGTCCAATCAGACGAGACTAGTTTTTGGTTTTCTTTCAACCTGCTGGTTGGTTATTTCATGAGGATTGTGCTATGAATCTAAAAACGAAACAATTCATAGATCAAATTTAATTTTGCATCCTATCAGATGTTTCTGCATCTACATATGCAGTGTTGAAAGTTGTTGTTAGTTTTAATGGGTAAAACTATCTGACCTGTTGGTCACTGGTAAGAGTCAACGTATTAGCTTACCCATATTTTGGCTCAGCACTCAGATGCACCCTGTCTCCTCAGTGAGGAACGAACTGGATGCAGGTTTTCCCCTCAAAACATTTGATGGGAAGAAGAATCTTAATCTTCTCAGTGTCATCTACAGTTGCAGATAAAAGGGCTTCAGTAAGGTGACCGAGACGCCATAACATGCGCTAACCTATTCCACCATATCCGTCACTTATAACAAAAGGGATTTCTACAATCCCTCTTGAATTCTGCGGCCAGAAGCAGCTTCACTGGTTATTAAGGCTCTTCATGGCAGTCCTGGTTGTAGGAATATAGACGTCTCCTTCAAGCAGCATGCCTGCGGATCCTGTTAAAAGGAAAGTGTTGCAGTTCATACAAAGGTCTGCCAAAAAAAAAAAAATGCTTTCATGTTTTTGTACAATTCTGTGGTGATGATGTGAGAAAGTGTTACTTCACCGCCATCCCTGCAGATTCGGGTTTGAACACTCACTGTTGTTCATTCTGAGGATATTTGTGGCGTTTTCCTCCTTTTCCGAGTCCTGCAATCAAGAAGAAAGACAAAAAAAGTAATAGTACTACTTACTCAGTTATATTATGTTTTACCATGTGATTCCTAATTTGGTTACTCTCTTGGTAAGGGCTGCAAGTAGATATATTCTGACTCAGTCACTTACCATCATCTGGATTGGAATTCTGTGTGAAAACCACACGACAACAACAAAAAAAATCAACTACTTTCTATTTTCATTCATATCATTTTCACCCAACTGTAATAAGTACAATTCTTCTGAATAAGCCCCGACTCTGGTGATCTAGAAGGTGCAGCAAGATCTTTTGCTCCATTCTATATTTAGCGTGGTTTCTTACATCTGCAGGGTAAGCATTACCGACAGCTGAAAGCAGCAAGAGCAGAAGCGAGGCTCATGCTTTGAGGTCCATTTTTTTTTTTTTTTTTTCCTCCTCCTGAAGGTGCTGATGCAAAATGTGCCGATGCTTCACTGTGCCCTGCATCAACTGATGCTCAAAGGGAAGCAGGGGGTGGGAGGGGGGCAGCTAATATGCCACTTTCCTAGGTGTATCTGTGTACAGAGATTAATGGAAGGGGCTTCGGCAGGTATGGTCTTAGACACACAGCAGATGGGAGTGCCCTCCCCAGCCCTCCTCACTGTTTTCACACAGGGATAATCTCATTCTGGGAGGATTACGGTGACCACAGGCTGCTGTCGGCTCACTTAGCATCACATTTCACTTGGTATTTTTAACCAGCGGGGAGCGCACTCATGAGATCCCAGTCTTTATTCCAAAAATAACAAAACGCACCGCTGGAAACGCATTTCTGCTCGGGGTGTTTACAGAAGCTGACTTTAGATAAACCTTTTCTCGAACCAGACCCTGCTGTGTTTGTTGACGGATGTCAACAATATTTAAAGTCGGACCTTCACGAACAAATGCGATGGAAGAGGCGATGATAACCGCTCGAGTCGTTAAAAAAGGAGCTAGCTATTTAAATTATGTATGCACTATGCAGATGACAATCAATCGTTTTGAAACATTTCAAGCAAAAATGCTGCTTTGGTTCTAAATGTATAGTAAACATTTAGGAGCAGGTAATAATGGTGATAATATTAAACCAGCAAATTCAAGAGCTGAGAACTAAAAAAAAAAAAGAAACTCTAGACTCTAGAACGTCCTTCCTTTGCTTTAACATTGGTTGCCATGGAGACTTGACTCAATTTAATTTAATTGAACTTATTTAATTAGGACATTGGACATTAATCAACATTACCAAAATTCATGGCAGTGTAAATCTAGTCAAATTTCATCTTTTGTCCTAAGACAAGTAAGAATCTTGAGGATCCAAACAGGTAAGCACTTCCCTGTGAGTGAAATAAAAAAATAACTTTAGATACAGTACATCCTTACTGAATATGCTGGATCCTTCTTCAGCATTGTTTATCACTATTTTTACACTTCTGAAATAATGTACTTGTTTCTCACGATGAGAAGCTATTTTCTTGCTATTTGCTTTCTATTCTAATTCCATGTCACATTCCTACACCTTTCCCATTTCATAAATGGCTTTGAAAAATCGTCATAATTATTGTCACACTTCTGTTCCAACTACCACAGTGACCTTTACAGCTCCTTGTTTTCACTGAAGGACTTTTTTCAGATTATTTTGACGAGACCTGATGTTGCGTTCGTTTAGTTCGGATCATAAAGGCGGCGGCTAATAAGGCATCAGTTGGTCTCTCCGAGTTGCGTCATTCCTCTGCGCTGCATCAATAGTGATTATTTCTCCATGGTAAGAGATCATGACTCAGCTACCAGACAGAAAACTCGGAAATCAGAAATGGATTGTTTAAACTAATGATTATTCAGATTTATTGGCTGCCCTGCTCATGAATCCAGAGTTTCTAGTGCTTTGTTTACAGGAAAAGAGGGATGCTGTCAGGCTTCGCTGCGCCATAAACAGTTTTAGGACCTGATTCTGCGTGTCAAGGCCGGCAACCTCACAGAGAGATTCCATCACACAGACCTTTATATGATGTGGTCTTCTGCTGTACATCACAATAATGTGGCATTTACTGTCACTGCACAAAAATTGTGCTGCATGTGTGTGTGTGTGTGTCTGCGTCTCGGTGGCTGTGGATGTGAGGCCTCCCTTCACGGAAAGTTCAATAAAACCCAATGCCTTTACTAAATTTACAATGTTTGCATTAGGTACTTTGAACACACAACCGTACATGCACCTTTTTATGTTTGCGTTAGCCGCATGCCGGCCAAATTGGATGATCCGCGTGGGTGAACAGGTAATTCGATTTGTGTTTTAGAGTCAGAGCACAGCAAAATAACACTGTGATTTATGACCCGTCCGTTTGGTTGAGCTTTATTTCTAACTCCAAAGAGGAGAAGGTCTTACTCGATTTGAAATTAGCTTAGTGCTCCCCTTTAAAAAAAAAAAAAATATATATATATATATATATATATATATATATATATATATATATATATATATATATATTTCTCTCCAAGTATCCGCTTTTTGTTAGCTGGAGGAGAAACTCCAGGAAGCTATGAGTTGTCAGAGAGGAAATATGGTGCAACACCGCCCCAGAAAGAAATTTAACTTTGTTGTTGTTGCTCCTTTTTTCCCCCCTCTCTAACCTATAAACTCTCAAGTGAGATGGAATTTGTCCACAATTCAAAATCAGCAGAGATCTGCCTTGAATTATGCTTTATGTCTGGAGCTCAATACATCTGCATGTGATGGCTATTGTGCAGATTTTTCTGTTTTATAGAAAGAGCACAGCTAATTCTTCATTTTAAATTGACTTCTGTTTAGTTGGTGCACCAGAGATTTAGTGTGTTGCTGTACTGCACTACCTCGAAGTAGCAGGTTGTTGTTATGACAGAATAAATTTAGTACTCTTCAATATTATGTTGTCAAACCACTACATATTGTTCTCTCTGACATTCTGATGATAGACTTCAGCTATTCCTCCAACAGAAATACAACATTTTATATGACAGTTGAGTCTTAAAATATTTTGCCTTTGTCCACTGGGATCGACAAGTTCTGCTTCTTTCCTTGCTGTACCCACACACACACACACACACACACACACACACACACACACAGTTTTCAGTCCGTTTACTTCTCCACATCTGTGTTCAGTCCCTGCTTAATTAGTCAGATTTTGCTGGACCTCTGCCAGGTAGTTTTTGTGCCTCTAATCAGGATGTCTTGTCACATGTAGTTAATCTCCTGCTCCCTTTTTTTGAATTTTGTTCTTGCTTGTTTCCAAGTGAGAACGGCACTGAAGAAACAAAATTGGGGACTAAATTAGATGACGTTGAGTTTAATTTAGAGTCTGTGTTGTCATAAAGCTGGTTAACCCGCTGCAGTTGTTTCACAAGTTCTTGTGAACAGCGAACCTGCAAAGCTTAATATCCGTTTTAACAGAGAGTCAGTTATTTTTTTGAAATTTTGGGGGGAAAAATAAAATCTACAGTTTTTAAAAAACGGTTTTGATATTTATAATTTTATATATATTTAAATTCTACAACTTCTGTACACTAGGGATGCAAACAACGGACCTAGTCTTATTATTATCTGTTGATTTATCAGAAATCAGATTATTAGATGTCAATTATTTATGTCAATTATTTAATTAATGATCTTCTTAGACCTCTTTCAGTGTATTAGTGTGACCACCATCCAGAAGAGGGCGCCACTAGTCATCCTTTAGTGGAACCAGTTGGTAGTTGTAAGAAAAAGAAAGATGATGGGGGGCACGTCCCACGGCGGTAAAGTGAAACAGCCCAAACGGAGTCCAGTGTGGGATGCAATATGCATTTTATGTAGTTCTGTTTAGATAAGCACTTAACAAGTTTCTTAAGTTATCACCTTAACAGCATTCATTCAGCCGTGCTGCAAGTCAGAGCAGCGTCAACTTCTCAATCGAAGGAGAGGATGTGATGTTTACATTTTCCTGCATTGCGCAGAAAAATGTAAGCTTGATGGAAAAAGACACAATTCTCATAAGCAGGTGGTTTCTGAGGGGTTTTGTGACTTAATGCACTTTGTTAACTTTGACAGTGCATTAACTAAAGTTAAGTAAAGTCTGCAGTCCTGCACATCTCTCTCTTCTCTCTGAATTAAAGGCTTCACATATTTTATTCTTTAATTTTTTTTAAATTTCTACTCAGCAACCTAATAGATTCCTGTTTTGTTATATTTTAGAAATATATCTAAGTTTAATAACACAATAAAATATAAATTTTCTTTTTATCAATACTTGGCACAATAAGCACATGCACTCAGCAGTAGATTAGCACATCTGGCAGCCATCTTGGTAGCTACTCATTACACGTTGACCGTTCCCAAGACCACCCATAATTTTTTCAGGACTAAGGCTAAGAATAATGGTTTAAAAGTTTTTTTATTATTATTAATAAATGGTTAATAAAAAGAGAATATCCACCTCCACAAATACAGATAGGTCCTTATTGTAAGGGTTTGTTTAGTATTGGGAGCTATTTTGGTGGCGTACCATAGATAGAAACAGATGTGTAACTTTGGCATATTCTCTAGGTACAACAAATACCAGTGAAGGCTCATTCTTTAAGTCTTCTCCTGATCTATAATACATCTCTGTCTTCTTCCACAGACACTGTGTGGGTAGCCAAGAACAACAGCCAATGAGCAATATCCATTTACGCAATGGACTGTTAAACAATCTGCTTAAAATTTAGAGTTGCTGCAGCGGGAGTGTGTGCCAGGAAATCCACTGTCATGATAAGTACTCCTTTAAAATGATGCACATTAGCCTGATCTACTGGCTCTTACTTACTTCAGCTCCTTCTTCCGCTACAGTCGGTTGTCTGACCCCGACACAGACGCTTTACTTCCCGTTCCCTCTTTTTTTGCCGCCGGCTCAGCGTCTGACTGTGTGACAAAATAATAAGTAACTACTTTGTACAACCCATTAATGCCGAGCCTCCCATGTCATCAAGCTCATTTATTTGTTGTTGCATCTTCAAATTAATCAAATATTTCTTCTATTATCTCTTCACATTTGACAAATTGTTTTTACAGCATTAGTAACTCGCGGTAATTGATTTATTTCACCCTCCCTTTGCACCGGAGTCGGTGTGTGAGAGAGTAAACATTGTGTTTGTTCTAATTGACATTCAGACAAACAGGGACAAATATGCTGAATATGTACACAATTATAATTGGTGTGAATTACCAGACTTGTAAAAGGCATGTGAATTAAATCAGGTGCATTATTGTGGCAATGCAATTGATTAAACGACAGCATGGCAGCACGGTCCATTCAGGGGACAATTGTGGTTGATAGATGAGGTGTCAAGTGGGTTATGAGACAGATTAGAAAGTTGTATTGAGAGAGATCAAAGTCCTGGGAGAAAAG